ACGTATTAAGACATTCACAGTTTATTATGTTTATTGATCATGCTAATTTGTTTTAAAATGCATATTTAATATACACACAAATATATGAAAAATGCGTACAGTTACTTTTGCATATCACAATAAAGACAACAGAGTAATATGAAGAGTAATATAAACCAGTGCCGATTAGCAAGAATCAAGGTGAATGAACATTTTACTTTTTAGAAAAGATGCAACACTAACAATGTAAACATCATCACTGAAGTTCCATTCAAATTCCAGTGTACAGACCGCCAAGACGGGGGCTGTCTAGATGCAGTAATGTGCCACCATATGCCAGATATGTTAAAGGCCAAGTCCACCCAAATTGCTATCAGTTTCCAATGGACATGGCCTTCAGATAAGTTGGCTTAGTGCTCTATGTCTCAGTGATGTCATGTTTGGAGAACCATGCACACAAAAAGGCCACATTGAAGGCAATCTGTTACAAAACAAATAGCCTATAACAGAAGCAGTCAATGCAGACTTCCAGAGCAGCATATAGTAACCATTACTTCACTTCCCGATTGCACCATTCAACCCACAGAAGGGGAGAAAGTACCCAGTAGGGAAGTGCACATGACTTCTTCTCATGTGACTGTTCTGGTGATTGGCCCAGTGCTGCCACATAGGGGCAGAGAGATGGTCTCCAGCCCTGTGTAAGCTTTCTCTAGAGCAACACAAAGCTTAAATTAAACAGGGCTGTCTTCCTTTGCTGCCGGTGGTTGAATGGAATGCTGAGGGAGCAAAATAAAGGTATGCACTGCTAGTTAAGGGCAGAAATGTTACAGATTTCTTTTAAACAGGTTTTTTTTGTCATTTCAGATATAAAATGCCCACCTCAAAAATCAACAATACAACATACCAAAATACAGAATATAAAATGCAAACTAAAGAAGCATGCACACCTCGACACCTCAATTTCGAGTGTTTTACTTTCATTTCAAAGAGTAAGCTCTAGATCAGTGCATTGTCAGCCTATTACAAATGACCAAACATAGAAGTTCTGCAATAACAAAACCATACTGCAAATTTCATATACATCAGGTAAAAGGAGTGTTCCAGGAATTATTATCCAAAAGGTGATGCACAGTAACAAAAAACAAAACTGTATGCTATCAAGGCTTAGTTCCCCTTTTTAAATGAAAATAGCATTGTGGCAGCAAATAAGATGATTTTCATTATGCAATTGTGGAACACATTTTTTAAAATTCAGCAGCAGCATTTTTTTTTATAAAATCACAGAGCATTGTCACGGAGCACAACAGGCAGCATTCAGCATGCTTAACAGAAGCAAAGCTTTTTTAGAATCAAACACGTGGCACATAGTAGGCTATATTTGGCATTAATGGCCTGTAGACTCCAACAATGCAAGTTACTGTATTAATAAATATTGCTTCATTAAAACAAAGTTATTATATATATAAAAAAAAAAAAAGAAATCCAGTGTCAAGGATTGGGCTATAGACTGCAATGAAGGAACTGTTCAGATATCTAAAAAGAAGCCCAAATGTATATCCATTTTTTAATTCACATAGATCCAGGAGAGCTTTTAAAAGGCAAAATGGCAATGCCACCATTCGTGGCACCTAGTTGCATATGGCGTTTGTGCTGCCCTCTCTATTTCTAAGGATGTTGTACAGCAACTAACTAAAATACAACAATTAGCAGGGAAAACGTGGTTTTGTGAAATTTGGCATTATCAGTGTCCCTGTCACACAGTACACATTTGCTAATATCTAAAGGATATTAAACTACGTTATAAAGCAGTCAATCATTGCAGTGGATATAAGGGAGATAAGTTGATGAGACATCTGTTACATGAAATGTTAACGGTAAATGCACACTCATGGAGTGCTTAGGATGCTGCATTCAGAAGTCTGAAGCAGATGTATTTTAATATATAACAAGCACAGTTGATGAGGTTAATTCAAAATTGTGCAAAAGATGTGACCTCTCACATCTTTTGCCTTGAAAAAGGGACCCTGCGCGGCCCCGAAACGTCGGCTCTTTGATTGTCGTGACACAATTGTCCAATAAAAAGGACTTATTCATTTTTGAATTATTTTTGAGTGCTGGTGACCTACATTCTTCTACTTTGTGTTTTGCACGGTGCCATCCGTGATAGTCACTGCGAGCACCACCTTTGTTAATTGGCCAGGACTGCTGAAAGGTGTGCGGAGAGCACCCCCACCAACTGCTCATTGTACACCCTGACATCAACCTGCATTCTTAAACTCATTGCCAAAAACACAACCTCTAAAGGGTGCTTCTTTATATTTTTGAGAAAGCAATCCACTGTGGTACTCTACAGTAAAGTTGTGCTAATTTAATATTTCACATGTTTTCCTTTTTCATATCTTATGAGTATGTGATTAAGTTGCATGTTTCATTTAACTGTGAAGTGTAGAGAGCAATGATGTGTGGGAAACACTGACAGCCAATCACATTACATTCAGCTTAGAGTGAAAGGACCATAGAATACAGATTTCTGATTGGTTGCTGTGTGCTATTGCACACTCTCATTTTTTGATCCCTGCAATTAAATGTTTAGGGGTTTTTTTGCCTAACATTTATTATGAAAATTATTAAAAATAAAATTTTGAATTTTGAAGACCACATGCTATTTTACACCTCAAAGCATCGTTGACATTTTTTTTTCCCCTTTTATGCACACAGGAGAAAGCTTTCCTGTATGCTTAATTTAGTGGACCTAGTACAGAAAAAAACTTGCTTAAAACTTAATATACATGAATGAGGAGTAAACTGATAACTTGCATTTACAGTACGGTGACGTCACAGTTTTTATTCAGAAAATGGGCTGAATTTTCAGAAGTGCTGTCAAGATGACATAATGGCCATGTCCTTTGTATATAATCAAGGGCTTAAGGTGGTTCAAGATCAAATCAGATACCTCGGATAAAGCATAGTGTTTAAAATAGCCAAAAAATTAATAAAGGGTAAAACAAGATGGCGACATTGAATGCGACCTGGAAGTACCGCCTATTTAAAAAAATTATGCAGCCTATACAAAAACATGGCATGAACCAAATGTCATATTCAGCAACCAATGAAATGTTGTGAGTAATGATCATTACTGGCCACACCTCCTGACAGTAAGAAGAGGCATATAATATCCTCAACTCACTAAAATCAGGACCTCGTCTACTCAAACCGTTAACCATTTCTATGATGATACATTGTTTCCTGTAGCAGAAAAATATAGGGAGTTATAATAGTTAGTATGGGAAAGATAAGTAAATGGTTGCTACTACAGATGAATGAAACTTTAAAAATACCTTCAAATCTACAGGTTTGGTTTCTGGCAGGCATTTTTTCCACTTCAGGTTTCTTATTGAAACCTTAAGAATAAAAACACCCTCCAATGCTACCAGTCCAGCACATCAGGCATGTTGACTAAAATAGCTATAGAGCTTCAAGCATGTGTACACCCTGCCATGCTGATACCAGCTCATATGGCTTGCAGCTCCGGGCAGGTGAGTTAGTGGTTGGCTGCTTTAAGAAACCAGCCCTAAAAGTGTAGTTCCTCCTCAAAAAACATCCAGCTGGTGCTGACATGTACTGAGCTCTAATGCTCCTCATGGGCTCCAAAGAGAGGTGCAGAAATGTAGGGATCAATAAGACACTTGTGACACAAATGTCTTCTCTGTGTATACTATCAGGACCGTACTACCTAGATTTTAAGATGATCCAGAGATAAACTCTATACGCACCGAGCGCAAATCCCATCTAAAAGGTCCGGAGACAAATATATTCTCCACCGCTCAAAAAGAGGTTTCCATTTTTTTTTTTTACAAGCCAATTACATCACTAAACTATAAGAAATCTCTAATGTGGTTTCTCTTTTTTTTCTCTCCTGCTTTTTAGAATCTTTAGAGATGAAAGGGTTGTTCATGCACAGCTCATGGGTAGGTTTCTACCCTCTGCAGAAAATGGGTCCTGTGCACACCAAACAAAAGGTTTAAAGTAAATATAATAACATTAACATCAGTTTTGATATAATCTGCATTTGAAATATAAGGAGGGGAAAAATCCGGCAAAAATGTAAACTGGACCATCCCAGTTAATCCATTAACTCATTTAAAAGATCTAGTTGTGATGTATTTATGCTGGCCATGCATGTAACAATTGTTTCAACAAATTTCATAAATCGTTTACACTAAATGAGAAGTATGATCAATAAATGATCATTTTCTTTGAATAGAAACAATTGACTTTAGTGAAAAAAATGAGTTTAATTTGACCAAATTGATCTCCTTCTTTATTGTGACAAATTATCATTTTCGACTGAAAGATTGCTTGAAAAGGTTGAACCTATGGCTGACTGGTTGTCTATGTTATGTAAATATGAAATATTAGTCTGGGGCTGGAGGCCCTAAAATGTGAATGGGGAGGAATTCTGATTCTTCATTGTCTGACCTTGATGAGGTTTATCAGTTAATAGGAGACCTGACGTGTGAAGGATTAAGACAAAAGAACCCCTCGGATTATTGTTCACATTTTGATAAGGTGAAAAATGGGAGAAGTTAAGTTTTACTTAATATTTGTAACTATCTTGGCATTCTGTTCATGTTCAAGCACCTCTGTTGGAGCACCAGAGACATGGAGCACTGGTGGAGTAGCGTATTTAAATGGGTTCACTCATCTCTAGTTATGGTTACAGCATACCAATGATCCTTCCTCCAGCAGTACTTGTTTCTCATACACACAAATCAGATCCTCCCTTTCATTATTCCAGTGCAATACAGGAGATGAAAGAAAGAAGCTAACCAGCTGTTATAGGGGAAGAGGACATTTATTGCATAGGCTCAGGTATTAAAGGTATTATTTTGTGGTGTTATAGGTTCCCTTTTAGAATCACAAATTTTAAATTTGTTAAATTAAAATTACATTTAAAAGTCAAAGAATATTTTTTTTACATTGTAACACACGTTTCAAGGCCTTGCTTACTGCCTAAGGAGAGTGAATTCTCACTTTCAGAAAGATTGAAAAGAATCGCTTGCCACAGTATCTATCGGCCTACCATGTACTGGAGTATAAACAGTTTTTCATAGTTCAAATGCATATTTAAAAAAATATCAATATCAAGTTCATGCTGTGTGCCAAATCTGCAGCATATACAGCCAAAAAGCCTTGGAATGACGTCCAGCACAGAGAAGCAGCAACGCACGTCCGTTTTCTCTGAGACTCACACGCCACCTCCGCTGCGGTCCACCGGTATGGGCTCTCTTTGTTCCAGGTTATCCTCTGCGCTCTTCATCAGTATGGCCAGGCGGCTGCTTGAGACAAATCCTTTCTGGATAGCGCTCATAAGCTTTAACAAAAGTAAAATAGTGTCATTTACAATATATTGCATAGCTACACTTTGACAGTATAGTCAATCATGCCATAATCCGAGATAGGGCTGGAGCAGGCAGCAATAAACTGTGTAAAGAGGAACTTTGATATAAATAAAAAGCCAGATATTGTTTAAAAATGTAACTACTAGAAATCCCTATATATAACCTTTAAAGGACAACATTTTATATATAGAAAAAAAAGTACACCAATCTCTAGCATTCCCAACCTTGAAAAAACCCCTATCCACCTGCTTATTTAACTCAATATGACAGCCATAGCCTGTGTCAGACTTTGGTCTGCCAGATAGAAGTTATTTTTCAGTCTGTACAAACACAAAAATGTTCTGCTTTTTCAGTCTCTAATATGGAAATATCAATTCTCAGCAGGCCAGGGTTAGGGTTAGGGCATGCCCCCAACTCATACCATAATGCAGTTTGGGCACCTCGATAATCTGCTGAGAAGGATCTGCATTTCACTGTGAAATATGGTGGGTATATGCTTCAGCTACATCATTTATAGGGTTATTCACTAAAGGACGAAGAGTTTGGAGAAGTGAACAATCTAGGCCAGTGATGGCGAACCTTTTTGAACCCGAGTGCCCAAACTGCGACGCAAAATCAATTTATTTACCTCAAAGTGCCAGCGCTGAAAATAAGTTTAGTACTGTATTGCAGTTCGGGCGCTCGGGTTTAAGAAACGTTCAACATCACTGCCTTAGGCCCCAATTCACACCAAGCGACATACCTTACAAGCAGGGCCGGTATAGCGCGACTGTTCGGGGCGACGTTCCAGCAAAAATCGCGGGACCTTCACCGTCGGGCTGCACTCAAAAATAGAAAAATCGTGTGACATCCGCAGGAAAAAGGGTCCTGCTGAAGCGACATCGACGGGCGACATGGAGCTGTACATTAACAGCTCCATTGAATAATATTGGCCGGCGACTTCTCACGATAATGCGCAAAATAGCGGGATTTTAGGCACAATGGGGCCTTAGGCAAAATAGGGAAACACGCATATTCAAACATTTATATACTTAATAAAACACATACACCCGTAATGAAACACACACATCACACACTTATTAAAACACACACATTACACACACACAGAACTACTAATAAAAATGAATAAATAAAACATTGCCCCCTCTCCTGCTTACCTGTTTTGCAGGGAGGTGGGCTGCATCCCTGGGGTCTCCCGGGGGGAGGACTTGTATGGCTCTCAGGATGGGGGAAAGGCTGTGCGGCTCTCACGGGGGATCAGAACGTCCCGGATTGCCTCTGTAGTCAGGCCGGTCACGAACAGGCAGCGGCGGTGACCTCTAAACACGCTCGCGAGGTTCTAGCGAGGAGGAAGCGGCCGTCTAATCGGCCTGTTTAGAGGCCGCTGCCTGATTGTGACTGGCCCGGATCGCGTACTGAGGCGATTCGGGTCGGTCGGATCTATTTCCATTGGTGGTCCCTGAACCTGGGCTCGCGTGCCAGCAGAAAAGGCCCCCGCGTGCCCTCTCTGGCATGCGTGCTATAGGTTCGCCACCACTGATCTAGGCCAAAAAAGCTGAACTGGAAAAATTCTCCAATTCAGCTTACTTTCCAGTTCAACTATGTTGTCCTAGATTATTCACTTCTCCTGCCTTCTTCAAATTCTTCACCCTTTTGTGAATAACCCTGTTAGAGTATTTGCAGGTATCCCTGTTTAAGGGCTCTTAGTGAACACTGCAGTCACGTTTTAACCTATCAACACTGATTTGCCTTTTCTCTTTATGATTATGGATAGAATGGGAAAGGATTAGAACGTCTATCAGATTTTTACTGCTATCCAAGGTTTTGCCAGACAAGAATTTAGAGAATATCTGTATTAGGGACACCAATAGCCATTAAAAACTTACAGGGGTTCCAACCTTTTCCTACTCTACTAAAGAAAAACATTGTTATTTCTGTTTCTTATGCTGTTGGAGAATCCCCCCACTTCCTGTCTGGTAAAACATTGACAGCAGGATAAGAAGTGAGGGTAAATCTCTGTGATGGAGCCTCAGATAAAAGTAAAATCATGACAGGAGTTTTAACTGTGCTTCACTGTACCCAAAACTAAGTTAAACGTTTTGGCTGAACATTCACTTTAAGCCAAGTCTGCTTTAAAGAGAGTCTTTATGTAGGTGATGTTTTGTGCAACCATGTATTGTGCAGGATGCCAGGAATGCGTCCTGGACGGACAATATATTTCCCCACTATTTAGGTCATGGTCCCTTTAAACTTTGTCAGAAGTTCTTACCAATTCAGGGTGAGGGGTTCCGTGGTGAGTTTTTTATGCAGGGAAACTGCTGTGCAGTCTTCCCTTGGTTGGTAGTCCTGAAATGGAACCCAGAATCCGGAGACTCAGAGATATTGGGTGGGAAAGAGCCTCCAACTCTGGCTAGAAGCATTTGGGCCTGGTAATGGTTAACCTACCTACTGGGAGTGCTCAAACTGGACAGGAAGCCAGCCTGCAGTGTCTGTGAGGTGAGTTTGAAACAGGACATGACTGAGTGTGGAGCTGTGGACTGCTACTGAAACATTTCTGGGCACCAGTGTCTGTGTTTGACCCTCTGAGAGCAGGCCGGGACGCTAACCTTGAGACGGGACATATGTATACAGGCAGTGAGCTGGACTTTCTGTAATATTGAAGAGAAGTTTTTGTACATTTGTTTTGTTTTCTGAAGAAAAGCTGTTTCTGTTGGAGTGTCTTAGAGAGAAAATAAAGACTTTAATTTTACTAACACGGCTGGCTATTGATCAGAACTGCGCTCACTATTACAGTATGCATAACACTACCGCAGAAAGCAAAGGCACAAATGCATGTTCTGTATTAGCAGTAAGCATTTGTAACAAATTTACATTTGTTGGGAAACCTAGCCTTGCATACTTAAATTAGAATACTGGTGCAATGGTTAATATTTACAGCCATGAAGATAAATGACTTTGCACAAATCAGTTATTAAGATGACACATTTTATCTGCCAGAAGAAAAGTTGACTATCATTTCAACTAATGTTGCATGTTTTTTGCCGGCAAAATGAAATATTTCTGCGCTTGGCGACTCAAAAGAGGCTTGGCCTCACAAGCCGTAAATGATGCATGAAACTAGTTATCAATTTCCGCGGAGGAGATTAGTAATGTCTTAAACGGTGTTGACTTGTGAGCATTCACCTGCGCGTTGGCAATCGGAATTCTCCAGGCTCAAAACGGATTCCCAATGGCCTCAAATAAAATCATGAAAATGAATTATTGTCTACTTTATCTTCCTGGCAATTACAATACCCACACTGGGCTCAAGATGACAGCCAAGTTTTCCCGGAAGATATAATTCTATATACAACCGATCGTTTGTATGGGCTTGCTGTCAGATGGGGAATAAAAATGTTTCCAGTATAATTTCAAAGGAACAATTCATTGTTGTCAATGGTTAATAGAATATGCATTTAATCTGATTGAACTGCTGATAAATGTATTAAAGGGATAATTATTCTTTTTTTTGTGATGCTGGACACAACTGCTGAAAATTTTCAGCATTCACGTTCAACAATGCTCTTATCCGAAGCTCATCTCGAGAGAGACAATTACCATTTCCTTTCCCCTTGATATTGTTTGTTTAACTTGACATCAGGAAGAAAGGGCTGACACTGACCAAAATCCCCAGCATTAATTTATTTCATGTTCCGCATTCATCATCGTCTTGGCTCAGGAAAGAGCTGGCAGACGGCTGGAATACCTGCCTGAGTAAGAAGCGCTACAGAAATAAACTTGAAAATAAACTTGACGATCTGGAGAGATCAAATATGTGTGTAAGACAATTTGTTGCACTGCAGGAAGTAAAAACGTGCGAGGAGAGAAAATAACAAAACAGAAAAAAAAAAAAAAACATGGATAATTTTAGAAGCTTTAAAAATAGTGCTGCTATGTTTATCCCTGAGTGCTTAATTTAAACTGCCGTCTGGGTAATGTAAAAAAATAACATTGTATTTTTAAAGGAGGAAAGAGGGACAGAATTCTGAAACCTTTATCCAAAACAGGGCAGGCAGAGGGCAACGACCTAGTCACTAGAGTTGCCTATGGTCTCCCTGAAGATGATATCTCTCCATTACTACTTACCATATCTTGTTCTCCGTGTGGAGGCGGCCATCTTGGTAGAGGCAGAGTTTCGCTTTCTCATGACAGAGCCTCCACCAAGAACAGTGAGCAGCTCAAAAGTGACAAAACCAAATCTCACTACAAATCTCCCGAGGCCATTTGCCAGAGGCAACAATGCCTTAAATTAGGGGTGTCAAACTCAATTTCATCGCAGGCCGCATCAGCATTATGGTTGCCCACAAAGGGAGTGATTGTATCTGTAAGACTATATAAATGTATCTACTGTTTATCATATTAAATAATTGTCTCTGCATTCAATTATTACTAGTTTTAGTAATAACGTAATAACTAGCTCTGAATGTAGATGTCTAGGAAAAACAATGGCAATTAGTGTAATAGTGTGGACTCTCAGGTGGGCTGTGCGGGCTCTATGCTAGGCTGGGTGGACTCTCAGGTGGCTGTGTGGGGTCTTAGGAGGGCTGTGCATTCTCTCCAGGGGTCCTGGTTGGTCTCGGCAGCTGCAGGCGGTGTGGGTCCACTGGAAGGAGGTGGTTTGCTGCCGGTAGGAGGAGACACTGCAGATGTACAGCTATGAGGCTGTAGACACAGGAGTGCCTAGGCAATCTCACATACATTAAAGTGCACTGCTATTTTTCAGGAGGAATTTAAGACAATAGGTACATATTTCTGGCACTGCTTAGGCAAAGTTAACATTTCTACATGTACGCCATACCATAGAAAATCATCACTTTTTACGTTCAAGCCGACTTCAAGAGGCCTGTAAATATGGTTGAATTGCAGACTATTCTAGCAGACAAAGTTCTAATGCTGTCGGGTAGGATCAGAGCTTGCCACTAAGTCCCGCCCCCTCATATTCCTATAGGACCAACACTATGAAGGGTGGCCTCACTGACCAAGAGAAATGTTTAGGAAGCAGGAAGGGGCAGTTAAGGTCTACACTGAAGTAAGTGCTGGAACGTTGCCTGGCATTCAGAAACTTTTGGAGGCTGCTGCAGGTTTGTACAGGCACTCTTAAAGGTTCTTGTGCTTTATACTTTTTGGTTTTAAAGACAGAGTCTCCTTAGGTTCTAAGTTCAGTCATGTTTTATGGTTTTGAACATTTGTCAGGTTGTATTGTTGTCTGTGTGTCATTACTATGGAAATGTCCTGCACTTGTTCCTGTGGTTGTGGTCACTAGATAAATAAAATAAAAAATACTGCATGCTTTTGTATTTGCTTAAAAATCCTATCTAGCTTCCCTGTTGAGGGGCTGGGGAGTTGAGGTTTACCAAAATTGACCCTGTCTGTACAATGCTGGCAGATCAACCCCTAACAAAGACTTCAGGCCTTGTGTTCTGAATTGTATGTTCATGTGAAGAAAATTAATCTGCCCCCTCTGTGTCCCCCTCCACTTTCAATATTGTTTAGAATAGCTTGTAGAATAGCTTGTAGACTGGTGATTGAAATAAATAAATAAGAACACTAACCTGTAAGAATTCATTGAGCTCAACTTGCCCATTCTTATTTAAATCAACTTCATTTAGGATTTCATGCAGGGTATTGGAATCCATCTGGACATTTATATTCTGGAATTAAAAAAAAAAGAATAAGCACATAAAAGCACTTTGCACAATTGCATACTAGAAAAAGCAAATTTTCTCGGCTTACACCCCGAATGTGAAGGCCAGCACTGACGGCTTCAATTCACAATGGCAACAGGCACCAGCTAAACTATAAACTATGGGGGGTCTATATACAAGACACAAGCCTTACATTTTAAACTTTAGTAAAAGGTTGGTATGAAAATGTTAAGACAATACTCACGTGAAAATAAAACATTCTTAAAGTGTATGTAAACCCTGACAATTAACTGGTCTTGTTTGCTCCCTTTCAGTCTGTTAAATATACCATTGAAAGCATTTGTTATATCTGTTCGATAAGTGCAAAAACAAAAATACCTGTTGATCCTGCCAGAAGTCTTATGAGTTGAAAACTCCCTAAGAAAATGGGACTTAGGGCAATCTCTGAGAGTTGTTCAAGGCATTGGATATATCGCCTTTGTTAATAGAAAAGAGGTGTGTCATATTGTGTATAGCACCGATGTCATGGCATCGGTACCTAATTCTCACCCGGGATAGAACGTTCTGTTAACCTTCAGAAGACGTCAGGTGACGAAACGCGTCAAGGGGCAGATCTTTTCATTGTCTAGTAAGCACTGTGCTAGTGGCTTTCAGGCGAAAGCTCGTTATCTCGGTTTTTTCTATGTGACCGGCCGATGTTCTGAAATTTTAATGTAAGTTGCTATTTTTTAATAAATATTCATTGTTGGATGTACCGCACCATGAGGGTTGTTTTTTCTCTCCTACTACCCTAAATAAAACACTGATTGGGACCGTACAATATCGCTGTTGCCCACGGATGAGAGGAGCCGACACCTGCCTTTAACAGAGAGCCGGGACCTCCACGGAGACTGCAAGGGACAAGCGCTGGAAAGTGCTCGATCTGCTGTCGGGTGTTTTCTTGAGGGAATTGGAACGGAGAGATTGGAAGCCTTCTGCTCCTGAGGGATTATATTACATATACTCACTGATTCTGGTGAGTACTGATTACCTGGGGGACGGTTGATTGGAAGATCGAACTTATAAGGACTTTATATTTATTTTCGTTTGCTTGGGGAATTGGACTCAATTGATTTTTATATATTTTATTTTTTATTTATTTAGTTTGCACATTCAGTTTGTCTTATTGAGTACTTTAGATCCAATTTATTTCATATCTATATTAGTCTCTCACTTTGCAATTAATTGTCATCTGTCAAATCACATCACAAATCAGAAGTTTGGAGGAACTATTTGCACTTTATCTGTACAATAGTTTTTCGTTAATTTTATTTTATTAACGGTTTGACACAAAGGTTTGAGGATTTGTCACTTCTTTACCATTCACTTATGAGATAATTTTATTGTTAACATTTTTTTCACATTGTGTTGCATTGTATCCACGTAGAAGTTTATGCTCAGATTTATCAACACAAATGAGGTTTAGACACTTTGTTATCACTTGATTTATACATAGTTGTTTTTGATATTTTTTCATTGGGACGTTATTCACTTATATGTATATACACATATATACACCTTGAGGAGGTAACTAGTCCCCCAGTTCGGTGGATATATATATATACCTTCAGAACAAGGCAATATATTAATTTATATTTTACACCTACTTTCTTACGGAATCCACCTTTAGCGCTGTGTTATCACTTGCACATCATATTTTACCAATTCATAGCAGCTTTAGGATTAGTATTTTAACTTTTTAGCCTTATCTTTCCAAGAGCGCAGATTATTTTATCTACATCTGAATATCTGCTGGGACAGTTATTTTACATCCTGCAAACAGTTGGACAGTCTCAACAACAATGCAAAAACTGCAGTACTGTATGTTTGACAAACACATATAAACATTTTTTTTGCCATGTTCAATGAATACTGGTCCCGTTTAATGCCCCTTTATTTAGGCAGAGTTCTCTTGATAAGAACATTAAACCATTGCTTGTTTGCAGAGTGTTACTTGCCTAATCTTCATTATGGGGAATATGCACTTGCGGCACAAGTGAATGATAATCACAGTAATTATATTCAAGTTAGTATGCACAAACCCATGAGACCTATTTGCAATGATCAGAGATGAACATTAGCAGACGTACACGCCACCGAGAAGCATGTATCAAGAGATGTGCTTTACATGATCATGAATATATGCACCTCCTTTGTGTCTAGCACTGGCAGATAACTGAAACAATAATTATATTAGCTGGACATGTTGAAAATTATATCAATCTTTTCCTCAATATAAAATAATTTAAAGCTGAACTGCAGGCACACAGTTAAGTGTACAAATGAAACACATAAATAGTAGCTGTTTACGTGCCAAAGTATTGATATGTCTGTCCACCAAGTTCTGGGATTTACATAGCAAGGCAGGTGGATGACAGTTATATAGCGGTGTCATGTCTCGACCTCCATCCTTCTGAGTGGACAGAAGGACAGGAGAATGGATAGACAGCAAAGTGGCAGATATTGAAGTAAGAACAGAGAAACAGTGTAGAAAGGGTTACAATGCCATAGTTGTGGAAAAAGGAAATGGATGACGGAGGCAAAGAAAAGGGAAGACAGAAGACAAGAAAAAGGAAAACAAACTGTAGAAGAAATATGTTAGATCAGACAAAAAAAGAACAAACTGGAAGGCAGAATTACCTCCAAGACATGCTGGACATCCAAAATGGTGATAAATCCTTTCTTTTCCTTATCAAACTTGTGAAATCTTTTTTTATACCTAGAAGAAATGGCATATCTTAGTGACATAAACCATATATGACACTTAAGATTACATTCCTAAACCATGTAATACATTGTTCAGATAAAGTGGGTATACTTGAGGCCTACGCTATTGCAACCCTGAATTCTAAAACTGGTTGTCTCTGCTACTAAACTACTTCCGACTTACACTGTCTTCATTCAGGAGGTCACAGTGTACTTAAATAGCTTGAATCAAAAAGAAGAAAAAACAACAACTTTCCAGGCATTTATAATGCTTTACTTGTATAAATAGTTTTTGTGCTTTCCATCATACTTTAGGGCTTGTTTACACCAAATACAGACCAGATCTGCATGCGTTTCTGCACAAGCAGTGCGTTATGCTGCGTCTTTTGCCGTGTTTTGGATGCGTTCCAGGCTGTTTTTGTAAAAAAGGACTTTCAGTGCGTTCCAGGGCATTTGCATGCGTTTGTGATGCATTTGCATGCGTTCCAGAGCAGGAAAAATAGGGCTTGCTGCAGTTTTTTTTTACAAGCTCTAGAATTGAATACATTGGACGCAGTTTTGATCCGTTCTGTAACTGCTCTGCTCCTGGAACGCGTTTGGTGTGAACTAGCCCTTATGGCCTAAATATTATTATGTAATTTTTCTGTACATGCAATAATTTCTGTCTCTGAAAGGTAATCTGAAAGGAGGACTTAAAAAAACACAGGTTTACCATGTCTTCTGTCCCATACCCATATCAGGGAAGTACAAAGTTTGCCAGAGTGCCTCATTCTGATTGGATGCTGTTTGCACCACTTTTGTGTAATGAGTGGTGGGGAGTGGTATTTAAAGAAAGGTGGGACACAGATGATTGTACTTCATGCTTAAAAATAACTGTTCATGTGTTCAGCTTCTATGCAATGTTTTCTGAAACTGACTGTTGCTCCTAGGTTCCCTCTTATGACCAAACCCGTAAATGTCATCATTCTGCGAAAACTGGCAACTCCTGGCAGCTTCCTGTCTCATGGTGATGATGTGAATCCAGGTCACTATATAAGCATCAGTCTTTTTACTTTGGTTTCCACTCTTGCGTTTGTTCAGACCTACCAAGTGCTATCTGCTTGTTCCTGTGCTCCATGTATGATCCTAGCTCTGTTTACTGATCTCCTGATTCCTGGCTCTAGCTACTGTACTCATTCATCTTGCTCTCTACATTCCTGGACCTGGCTCGGGTAACTACCCTCTTTGGCTTCTGACCTCTAGCTCTGACTACATCTTGGATTTACCTAATGCTTTACTATTTTATTTATTGTCGTTGTCAATAAACTCCTTTATTTTTTACTTTCAAAGTATTTGTTCATTTTTATAAGCAAAACAATTCCAGAAAACATCAGAGAGAGTAAGAAATGTTCAGTGCAGTATATAAACAGCAATAACAACAAGACCTATATGGATCATACGTATCTACTAAATCGTATCAAACCAGAGAGCCTGTGTAGAATGGCATGTAATCTATATGCGATAAAGCATTAATTATCCCATAAAAAGGGGCTCAATATCATCAAACTCCTTTATTTTTTTAACCAGCACTTTTAATTTCTGTCTGGTTTCTTGGTTCCCTGACATCATGGCACCGATTGCTGAATTAATGGAGGATTTCACCTGATACTGTATATTAAATAAATATTGTTGTTTAGGGGATAACTGTAGCCATCATATGGGATGTATGCGGGGCGAAATTTGAGGGCTGGTCCTTCCCAGGTGCGCCCCGGGACACTGAACGGTAACTCCTCCCCTGCTTCCTTCCTACCAATACATCACTCCCTACTACTGTTCCCCTTTTCCTTCTTACCTCTCTCCCCCATTTATTCACACACTTGCCCTCTTTTATCACGCTTCCGCTCCCCTTATGTACAGCCATGTTTTTACAGTTTCATCTCTTTCGTTTAACAGTTTTATCCCATTTTACTTGGGAACTTATAATCCCATCAAGCAGGTTGGCCCCTAGTTCAAAGCACCAAGTCCTCATGTATCTTGGGTTTCTGACCCGAGATACATAAACACACTAACAATCAACAAAATATTTTATTTAATGTTTTGATAACTTTAAAATGAATGAGAACTTGCTAGACACAATTATATCTCAGCAGTAAAATTTAGACTTTTACGCATATACTGTGTTATGTGAACATTGTAGATTTGTAAAAGACTGCCTGCTGTCAATATTGATGTTCTTCTGTAATGCTTAAGGGAAATACCACTTTTTGTAAACAATGAAAAATTGCACCCATATTAATACAATGAAAAAAGTGCATTGATTAATTTTTAGCATCGATCAGTGGATTGCAGATGCAATACACAGGCTCCTGCAGACTATATACCCCCAGCTCCAGGTCCCTATGGCGGTACAGACTGGGGGCTGGAGGAAATAATCAAATGACTACAAGTGAGGGAATATGACTGCACTTGGACTTGATTGAGGTCTATGAGTCCTTCTGCTGCAGTCCTCTATTCACAGATCAGCGATTTGCAAATCTAGTATTTTTTTTTAATTTGGAGTGTCTCCATCCACTGCTGTAGGAAGAAGGTAACAAGGGTGGAGGGTGGTTTAAGGGTGTTGAAGACTGTGACCTTGTTTCATGTTGAACCCTAAATATGGGTCTAACATGAAACATGGGCAGTGTTGGAACCGATAACATTGGCATCTATAATACAGCTTTGATGCAAAGGTTCCTTGATATCTTGAATGGAATCAGCAGGTGGCTGATATGCAAATGAGGGCCATCAAAGGGTTCTTGGGGCTGGACACTGATGAATGAAGATCTGCCAGGACGGTCATGTCCTGGGGCAAGCCCGACCCCATGCTGGTATTTACTGCCCACACCTGTGTCAGCAAAGCATATATGCTGGGATGGGGGCAGGGGCATACGATGGAACCTTCTTCCTGTGTGACACTAACCTAGCTCACCAGCAAGACCTTTGGACAAGACAAGTCTTTCTTAACTCTGCAATCAAGAATGTGATTCGCTGAGACCTGCTGGAGAGGCGTGTTTTGAGAACAGAGAAAAAGCCATGGCATGTGTGAATGAGTGAATGAGTGAGAGAATGGTGTAGCTAGCTGTAGTATCCTGACCCCCTCCAATCCCCTCTCCAATTCCCTTAATTGTAATTAGAATGTATGTATATCCCTATTTGTAAATAAACCCAACACTTATTTAATATTCAGTTGTTCATCAGTAATTTAAGGCACCCCCAAATCAGAGCACATTCTACAGGCAGAAAGGTGGAATTCGCCTTTAATAAAAAAATAAATTATAAAATAAGCGGAAGCAAGAAATGTTTTGTTAAACCTGCATTGTAGAAGTCTTCACTGCAGATCCTTATTGTGCGAAGGTAAGTGCCTGGGAACTCGTGATTTTTTTTTCTTGCAAGGAGGCATTTGAAGAGCTAAGTTGGTGTGCGCTTTGATTAGTTTTGCAATCATCAGTTATGACATTTCTTGGTGTGCAGGAAATGATGAGACTTAACCATAAAGAAGGACTAATGGCAAATACAAATAGTAACTTAATAGGTTCTCATTAAATATTAGAATAAAAAATCCTTTAGTGTATTGTATAATATTAGTTCCTTAATAAGTGACTGATCAGTGGCCATTATGAGCCCCTCAAATGTCTTGCCTGCAAGTCTGATGAAATGTAGTCTGGTGAAATGGTTTGAATTGGCTGCAGAACATTTATATGACAGGGCGATAAGAAGCATTATATGCATTCCACAGATGTATATTTCGAACTCCTTGTGAAATGGTTTTAACACAGCTCCGTCCTTCTAATGTACACTGATGTCGATTTAATCTGAAATATATTGACCAGGAGACTGCAAGAAGCAATTTTCACTAAAGCAAAGATTTGTATTACAAACAGACCGCCACACTGATAAGAATAAAATACGAAGCCACTGCTCCAGTACTGCCCATCCTGCTCACCTGTCCACGTCGGAAGGAGACAAATTAATTTCTGATCGATCGGTGAGTTGTTCAGATCGAGCTTTGTATCCCATTTCATAGTAGAGGAACTTTTTTGCAGCTTCCAGTTCTTCCTGCACAGTGATAAAGAAATTCTAAATTCAGACTTTGCAGTTTTTTCAACTCTAACTCGAAATTTCTAACCAAGACCAGAGTTAGGTACATATAAAAGAAAGTGCGTCATATAAGAGATTACCATGTGATCCAGTTAGGTGTTTATTAAAGATCATTTCTAACTACAGCTAGAATAAGTGCTTGCCCTGTCTTTATACAGGTTTCCTGTAATCCCTGTGAAAAGCAGGATCTATTGCACATTTTAACAATCTAAGGCTATCAGTCTAAGGCCCCATTCACACTGAGGGGTTTATCGTACGATTTGTGCCGCGATATCGCTCTATGTAGCCTGTTCAATGCATTTCAATGGAGCTGTTCACATCTCACAGCTCAATGTCGTCTGTAGCTCGTCGCTGTAGCTTGTCGCTCGTACATGACCCTTTTAGGCCCCATTCACACTGATCGACATGAAAATCGCGCAATTTTATATGTGCGATATTGTGCGACTTGTCGTGCTATGTTGCGCAACTTTTCGTATTGTGCTGTATGCAATCAGGAGCAAAATCGCGCGAAATCCGCGGAAAAAAGGGTCAGGTACGAGCGACAAGCTACAGCGATGAGCTACAGGCGACATTGAGCTGTGAGATGTGAACAGCTCCATTGAAATGCATTGGAGAAGCTACATAGGCGCGATAAATCGCTCAGTGTGAATGGGGCCTTATGCTTGGATGTGGCGCGATTCGGCTCCAATAGACTCTATAGTGTTGTGCGAAATCGCATTACCGGCGATATTGCATGACTTTGTCGCGCTACAGAAGGGTTATTTTTTGCACTGCAAAATGGAAGGAAAGAATGATGTCACATCAAGATCGCTGTTGATTGGTTACAGCCCAATGTAGCAGCGACGAAGTCCCGCCCAAAAAATGCGTTATGTCGCGCGATAAAATGTGCAAAGTCGCTCAATATCTCGCAATGTAGCTCCTAGTCGCTCAATATAGCTCCTAGCCGCTCAGCGCAAAATCGTGCAATATCCATGTCGCTCAGTGTGAATGGGGTCTTACATCAGGAGCATGCCGACAGGATGAAAATACAAAAAAGAGAATTACAGCATTTGGCAGGAAATCAGTTCACATATACCTATTCCCACTATATGTATGTATGTAGGTGTCTGACCAGAGGTCAGCCACCAATTGTTCATTAAAATGAATTGCTGTATAATGTTAATAAGATGTGTATGATATACAATGCCCAAGGTTTTGTAAAAGGATGTCTAGCAAGCTAATACATATATGATATTTAACTGTCCAAAGACTTTTGATCATACAGCTGACATTAGACTTTGGCTGCCTGCATTACGAATTCCAGCCTCAACGTTGGAATATTGTTGTTTATTGCTTATTGCAATGATTTACGTAACTGTACAATATATTTTGATTTTGTACTATGCTCTGCTTTGTACGTGAATTATACCCGTCTACACAACACAATTGTTAGACTTAAAAAAAAAATTCCGACTGTTTTTTTGACATGTCCATTAAAAGCAAAAAGTACATAAATTGTTTGAAGGCCTAAATAAACATATGTCACAAGGGAGTTAAAGAAAAGTAAATTATACAAATCTGCTAAAAAAGGTTTCATTGTGTGCCGTTAAAAACAATTTGTCATAATCGCAGCACTGATCTACTTTATGCATGAGAAATGTGAGGGCGAATAGGGCATTATGCACAGGGAAATGGAATACCAATTAATCCAGTGCACCTACACGGCCTTAAATATAAATGCCCTTATCTCCCATCAGCTGGCTATCTCAGTGCACTTTTCTTTATCTTACACATGACAAATGAGGCACGTGATCAGCAGTCCAGTAATCCTGAATTTCGACAGCTAAGTCCTGTCTTGGTTGAGAGCTAAATTATTGGATGACTTAGCTGAGAATAAAATCTTTCTGAAATAAGGTGACAAGAGTAAAGGCACCTGCAGGGTGCCCATCAACACTACCAACGCATCGCTTTAATTACAGACGCATCTGAACCATACAGATTCTGTAGGCAATTAAAGAACAACTTCAGCAAAAACACTTTTACATTTTGTACATAGTGGGAAAAGGGTGGAACCTCTGTCCTGAAGTTATTAATGGTCTCTCTACAGTAGCCAACGTATTTCAGGGACTCCACAAGACCCTCTGCATGTGGGCTTTAAAGTGGTGGCTTGAAGGAGATCTGGACTTTGGAAAGTATGTCTCTTGAGTGAACAGCTTTGCACAGCGTATAGAAGCTGATCCAGTCAACGTTGGTCTGAGACACTGTTTCAAAAGTCCTCAACGGTTCAGATATACCAGAAAACAGCCTGCAATCATCTTCCAAAATAAAAAGGCGCACCTAATTTGGACACAAAGGCAAACCTAAGTTTTGGATAGAGTTGGCTTTATAGAGTTGGTTTGAGAATTTGTACATAGTGGGAAAGGGTGGAACCTCTGTCCTGATGTCCAGATATAGTTTATTAATGGTCTCTCTACAGTAGCCAACGTGTTTCAGGGACACCACAAGACCCTCTTCAACGGGGTTTCAAAATGGTAGCTTGAAGGAGATCTGGAATTTGGAAAGTATGTCTCTTGAGTGAACAGCTTTGCAGAGCGTATAGAAGCTGATCCACTCAATATTGGTCTGAGACACTGTTCCAAAAGTCCGCAACGGTTCAGATATACCAGAGAACAGCCTGCAATCATCTTCCAATTAGGGCACACCTTATTTGGACAGCATACCACTCCGGGGGATGTAGAACTCTCAAAACCATTTTTCCACCAGTAAACACTGGACAGAAATTCCAGAAAGTCTAAAACTAAAAAAAAAAAGCTTGTTTTGGATAGAGTTGGCTTTAATACCACTCAAATACATAAAGCATTTGCTGGATAGAACAAGCCACAAAACATGTATGACAGCATCAGTAGCTAAAGAGATCCTTGAGAACTAGGGCTGCAACAACTAATCGACATAATCGATTATAATCGATTATTGAAAAAGTTGTCAACTATTTCAATCATCGATTAATCGGCTTCCGATTGGTTGCCCCTGTTCACGGCTCCACACACGCTGCGCGCCGCACCTCCTCCCCACCTCAGACCCGCCCGCATCCATGCTCCACACGCCACACCTCCTCCCTGCCTCACGCTCACTGCCCGCCCAAATCCACGGTCGGCACAGGGACGCAGGGAGAAGAAGTAAGGAGGAGCAGGTGTGGGCGGATGACAGCCGCCGATAGACAGGCCCCATCTCAGAAACAGGTTGCTGGAAGACTACTCAGGTAGACTGCTCAGGTAAGCCTGCACTTTCCCCACATGGTGCTCTATAATCTATGGCTGGGATAGTGGGATTTGTATTCCTCTATAGTTGATGGTACATTGTGCTGTATATTATACAGACCAATGTACCATCAGCTATAGAGGACTACAAATCCCAGCAATACATTATACACTGTATGTATAATGTATTGCTGGGATTTGTTGTATTCCTATATAGCTGGTGGTATTCTGCATTGCGCTGTATAGAGGACTACAAAACCCAACAATAGTACATTATAGAGCGCAATGCGGAATTCCACCAGCTTTAGAGGACTACAACACCCAGCAATAGTACATTATACAGCGCAATGCAGAATACCACCAGCTATAATGTACTATTGCTGGGATTTGTTGTATTCCTCTATAGCTGGCGGTATTCTGCATTGTGCTGTATAATGTACTATTGCTGGGTTTTGTAGTCCTCTATAGCCGGTGCCATTCTGCATCCATTGCTATATAATTTTACACTTTTCATTTCACTATATTGCACACCACACTTTCTTTTTTTTCTTTTTTACTTCCACCGCTCCAAGCTTGCTCCTGTGATGGACTGCAATCTCAATACAAACTAGTAGTCCCATCACCGGAGCCATTTTTAAAAATGTATTTTATTTTCTATCCGATTAACCGATTAATCGAACTTAATAATCGGCTAACTAATCGATTTTGAAAATAATCGTTAGCTGCAGCTCTATTGAGAACAATATGAAGTAAATTCCACTTTAGGGTGTGCAATTACCGAAAAGGGAAGGGGCTTTTGAGAAATGCTATAACTCTCTTGATATAGAAATATATAAAAATTCATTGATTTAATATCACATATTATAAAACATAATTGGAACAGTTAAAACATGATTGATCTATTTGTATAGGTAATATCACCTCAATTAACAATATTATAAAAAACGCATGATAAATAATTCATTCTCATGATTCCGACATGTTTCGCCCCACCAGGGCTTCTTCAGGGGAGAATATATATCCTAAATGAGAGGGAACCCACGTAGGACACATTAAATGTGTCATTAAATGTGTCACATAGGACACATTAAACACAAAAATGTGCTCATTGTGAGGAAGGTCTCTGTTGCGAGCTGTGTTAATGTAGAACACATCAATGCAGGAGAAAACATTCCTGTACCATGTTTGTTTTCATTACAATGCACCACAAAGCAGAGAGAATTCACATTTGTGCCTTGAGGGACACGAGAATGCATTTTCACTGCCCTAGCTATGTGCGTTGGGGTGCCACTCAAAATGAATGGCAACACAACGCACCACACTTAGAAGCATACATTAACCTGTGTTGAGGCAATGTATAGTAAAATGTGATTTGAACACAACGCATTTGTTTGAAAAGTGGACACAAACATATCTTTTTGCTGATAGGATTCTGTATTGTCAGTTTTCTGATTCTTTAGTTATGTGGATTGGGATTAGGATAAAAACACGACTTCAGACTAACCTCCATGACCTGCTTATGCCCTTAGGCTACTTGCTGTGTGCTGTACTGTAAATGGCTAGCAGGTTATTGAGATTGCCAGCAACCATTGTATGCATAGAGCTTCCTTGGTAAGAGATGACCTCAGAAAATAAAAACCAGATGTACAAAAATGGAAAGAAAATCAACAGTGCGCATCAAAAATGAAACCGATATAAAATGGGGAAAAGGTGGACTATGGTCTTATATATTGACACCAACTGTAGTTTCATGCAGACCCTTGTTCGATGCTCCAGTACATAAGTAAGGGTATTTGATTGCAATACAGTTCTTTGTTTAAATAAAGTCCTCTTATTTTACATACTTAATTCGTCTTCAAGCCTCATTAAGTTGAGTAATTTGATCCCTAATTTGGATATCTAACATGACAGATAATAGTGCTCTAAGCACTGAGACTAATTCTTTGGGGTTTAAAGGCGCTTGTGCCCCTGCAGTGCCCCCCGTATCACTACAGCGGCATTAGCAATAGAATCCTTGTGGCAGTCTGAAGATTCCTGGAGTTGTCTGTGGATTCTGTATCATTATCAGGCATTAACGAGAGCAGGGGGAACGAAACAGCATCAGCAGTCTAGCAAATATCATTTTAGGACAACACAGATTCTTGAGGACCAACAAATGGGTCATAGTTTGAGAATTTTCTTTTGGAGCATATTAAATTATTAATAAGAAAACCCTTTTAAATATGCCCCACCAGCAAGCTGGTATATTTGAACTGGCAATATGCTCTACAGGTCTGTATTGCATGTGTGTGTGTGTGTGTGTGTGTGTGTGTGTGTGTGTGTGTGTGTGTGTGGGTGTGTG